TCTGTGTAGCTTTGCGCCTGTCCTGGAACTCACTCTGTAGCCCAGGCTGGCCTCGAACTCACAGAGATCCGCCTGGCTCTGCCTCTCCAGTGCTGGGATTAAAGGCGTGCGCCACCACCGCCCGGCTAGAAATTACTATTATTATCACTCCTAGTGTGTGTGAATAATGTATGGGGAGGTGTATGTGCCATAGCGTGTGTGTGTGTGTGTGTGTGTGTGTGTGTGTGTGTGTGTGGAGGTAAGAGGAGCTCTGGGGAGTGGTTTTCTCCTTCCACCTTTCTGTGGGTTCCAGGGATCAAGCTCCGTTCATCAGGCCTGCGTTGACAGGTAGCAAGTGCCTCTACCCACTGAACCATCTTGTACGCCCATCCTTTCTTTCCTTTTCCTTTTTTTTTTTTTTTTGAGACAGGGTCTCTCTGTGTAGCCCTGACTGTTGTGGAACTCACTCTGTAAACCAATCTGGCCTCAAACTCAGAGATTCACCTGCCTCTGCCTCCCGAGTGCTGGGATTAAAGGCCTGTGCCACCACCGCCCCCCCTTTCTTTTTTTTCCAGACAGAGTTCCTCTGTGTAGCTCTGATTATCCTAGAACTCACTCTGTAGCACAGGCTGGCCTCGAACTCACAGATATCCACCTGCCTCTGCCTCCCGAGTGCTGGGACTAAAGGAGTGCGCCACCACCACATCAGATCCCCTGGAGCTGGTCACAAGCTATTGTGAGCTACCTGACATGGTTCTGGAACCGAACTCAGGTCCTCTGGAGGAATAATACATGTTGTTAATCACTGAGCCATCTCTCCAGCCCCTAAAGGGTCTTTTTTATTGAGAGGTAAAGAACAGGAAGTCACAGATCCTGAGCAAACCTCAGTGAATTTTCATACAAGCATCCACTTTGTCAACATCTCTCACCCAAGATCTCCTCTTTGAGTTAAGTGACTCTCAGAGACAGACTTGCTCCCACAATTCCATTCTTTCCTACAGCTGTCACTGAGGGTATTGTGGGGTGCATGGATGTCCTGTTGACCCCTGCTTTCCTGAATGGCTTTTGCCTCAGTTTCCATAACTGTGAAATGGGAGCAGATGGTTGCTCCTGCCTCAGGCTTCTCAAGAAGATTCCAGAGGCAGAGCTGGTAAGTGCATGAAGCATGCTAATTGTTATTTTGTTGTTGTTAGCAGTGACCTGAGGAGGAGGCCATGACAGATGTATCAGAGTTACCTGGGCCGTTTTCACACAACCCACCTGCTCAACTGGACCAGACTCACTGAGTCAGAATCTAGAGTATACACCTATCTGGGTCACTCTGTTACTCACACAGAATTAAAAACCCAAGGGCTTGAGGTGGCCATGACAGGAAGCAGGGACATCAATAGGTAGTCCTGCCCAGGTACAGGTGTACAGGAGGAGGCCCAGCTGGGCAGAAGGTGGCACCCAAGTGTGGGAGGGAGGGGAGGAGCCTGCAGTGATTCATGGGGTGCTGACCTGGGCGAGGTCAGCAGGTGGAGGATGAGGCAGGCTGAGCCTGCAGGAAAAGGCATCGTGTGGGCAGGAGGATATTGTGACAATTTCTTTGGCTCTCGGTGGAGAAGTGCCATTATTTGTATCTCTAGGCCTGGGAGGGGGCTGTGGGAGGCACAGTCCATAGATGGACAGAGTCACTAGCCTGTCTCTGATGAAATGCTGAGAGCTAGGAAGGGCCAAGTCTACCAGCACCCATCCTTGCAAAGACGTGTATCTGCTCATCCTGCCCTTGCTTCAGGAGCTCGCTTCTGTGCAACAACCCACAATTCCAGAAGCTTCAGCGGAAGCTGGTCTCTAGACAGAGTGCTGGCCTTACAGATGTGCACCACCACAAACAGTGCCTGAGGTGGAACCCGGGGCTTTGGGAATGCTAGGCAAGCACTCCACCAGCCCAGTGCATCCCCAACTCTTTTGATGTTTAAAAAGTTAAATCCAGGCCCTTGGAACCCTGCCGCAACTCTGGCTAAGCCTGCATGCTGGGCAGCAGTTGGATTGTTACCAGCTCCACCGATTCACTCTGCAGTCTGGGGGCCTCTGTGTGGGGAGAGGAGTGGAGAAGAGGAGGTCCAGTCCCTGCTTTTATGATGTTACAACCCAGCCTGGGAGCCACAGAACACCTGTGGGGATAGCTGGGGGCAGTCCTGGGCTGACCATCACCTAAGCCGTACCCATCTATGGAGAAGGCCATGGAGTGTGGAATCCAGCCTTTGAAGCCATGATACTGCTCAGAGGCATTTGCAATGCTCTCGAGGCTGTATGCTCTGGGGGTGGCTGGACTTGTGTCCCCAACAGGTCCCAGAGTAGCATTAGGACAGGCTTGGCCGGATGGGCAGGTCCACAGAAGCAAGTCTTATCCCAAGGCCTCCCGAACAGCTTAAGGCCCACAGCCCCCACCCCAAGCTTCAGGCCTATGCTCTGAAGCTGCCCACAGGCCCCTCTGCTCAGCACTGTGCTGGGCGGTGGTGAAACACCCTGCCCTGAGTCATGGATGGTGTCAGGGCCATCCCACTTTACAGCTAAGAAAAGTCTGAGACATGAGGTGTCATATAAGAAGCCAGAACTTAGAGCCAAGGTCTCCAGTGCCCAAATCAGGCGTATTTCTGTGCCCCACCCCAGGTAAACGCAGGTGACTCAGTGGAGAGAGCCCTGCCCTCGAGGGAACCAGGAATCTGATAGCTGACCACTGGGAGTAGAACGGCCCAGGAAGGCTGAGACAGCCCTGTTCTGCCCGGGGAGCCCCAGCTGCCCACAGACCTTCCTGGGGAGAGCCTACTGGCTAATGGTTCTACAAGTCGGCTCAGAGATATGGACAAAGTGACGTGACTATAAACACCTGTGACACCCGAGGCTATTCTTTCTAACAGCAAAAACAGCAACAGAAGACAGACAGACACCACACACACACACACACACACACACACACACACACACACACACACACACAAGATACAGTCCCGTGTAGCTCAGGCTGGTCTCCAACTCACCTTGTAGCCAAAGATGACCTTAAACTCCTGATCCTCCTACCTCTACCTCCTGAACGCTGGGATTATAGGTATGGGCCATTACACCCAGTTAATGTGGTGCTAAGGATCGAAGCCAGGGCCTTGCATATGCCAACCAAGCATCCTACCACTGAGCCCTATGTCCGGTTGTTTGTTTACCATTCATTTATTGTGCACGTGTGTGTATGTGTGAGTATGTGGAAGTCAGAGGATAACCTGTGGAAGTTGGGTCTGTCCTACCACGCAAGTTCTGGGCCTCAAACTCAGGTCACCAGGCTTGACAGCAAGCACCTTCACCCTTCCCCACTAAGCCACCTCACCAGCTTCCCAAATGCCAAGGGGACAAGTACACATATCCTGGGTGGACTCTGCTTTAGTGTGATAATTTATCTACGTGCATGGGCAAGTCGCTGCTCAGAGGGATACATTACTGCTAAAATGGATGTGTAAAGAATGCTCTCTGCAGGGGGCCTGCCACCTTACAAGGCCGCTTAGAGGTCTCTGGGAAGGAGGGACGCTCATACCCCTTCACTGTACAACAACTACCAGCATGGACATGTGTGCTTCATCTGAGGTGAAGAGGGGCTTACCTGAGTGAGGGCAGTGTGTGTGTGAAAGTGTGTGTGTGTGTGTGTGTGTGTGTGTGTGTGTGTGTGTGTGTGTGTGTGTGTGTGTGATGATTTTTACACCATCCAGGAGGAGGTAAGACCTGCCGTGCTATGAGGAACAGGAGCAGGGGAGCTGGGAGGCTGGGAAAGCCTGCCCTGTTCTCTGTGAACTGTTTGGCTGTTTGGACCTGGTAGGGAAAGGGAGCCAGAGGAGCCCAGGACTAGGTGCATGGGGACACTCCTCCTCTTCTGTGTCCTGTGCTTCAGTCTGTGACTGGAGAGAGCGGGGAGGCTGGCACAGAGGCTCTGTGATTCCTCAGGGCACACTGGTCCTCTCCACTCAACCTCTCTAGCCTTGGCTCTGTACTTCTACATAGGCCCTCCCTCTCTGGCAAGCATTCTGTCCCCTTTCCTTCCTTCTTCCCTCACTGTGGAGACACAGTTCCCAGGCTGACCCACAGTTTCAGCAGGCCTCAACCCTGACACCAAGTTCCCAAACCTCACCCTTCCTCACAAAGACTAGCCCGGTGTGGCTAGCAGCCAGTCATGAGCAAAGGTGGGCCTTGTGCTCGTGGAGACCCTTCTCAGCACTGTCTCTGAGCAAGACTGGAGCCTTCCCAGAGAGGAACGCAAGTGGGGCCTCTATCTACATCCTGATCAGTGACACCAGACAGACACAGAAGCCACCGGTAGTCACTGAGGGCTGACTTTCCACTGTCTGCTGGCCCTCACGGCCTGAACCTTCAGGGCATGATTCCCCAGTGGGGAGGGGCTGGGGATGGCTGTCAGAGCCTCGGACATCACTATGGCCCTCTGAAGGAATGAGGATCTGGGGTCGGGTCTCTCACTCAGCACAGCTGGGCTGGGGTCAGAAAGACCTAACTTAGGGAATCACTGTGGCTACCCTGTGGACCTGCTGATCTGGGGACCTTTGACCTTCCTTGGGTGGCAGTCCCCAGGCAACAGGTACTGCTCAGGTCCACTTGGGACTTTCTGCAGAGGGACAGGGACCACAGTGCCTCCTCCTCACCTGTGGGCAGTGGGCCACTGAGGAGGACCATTTATTCTGTGGCCAAGCAGCCCTGTAGCATACAGCGCGGGGGCCCCTACAGAGTGACCTGGCCAGCAGCAGTCCAGTCATGAGCCCACCTCGGGGACAGGGCCTTCCACATTCCCGCACTTCGATTGGGATTCAAATTAGACTACTTGGTGGCTTTCTCAGGGTGTGGGGACATCTGTATTCTACTCAGACATCTGGAAGACCCCTTGATCTCAGCCTCTATGAGTCCAGGATGACTGGTTCCTTCTCTAAAGTGCCTTCTAACACACACACACACACACACACACGCACACGCACACACACATGCACACACACACACACACACACACACACACACGAACGCACACACGCACACAGGCACACATACACATGCACACATATGCACACACACACACACACACACACACGCATGTGTACGAGCACATGCAGCATGGCTCACATAAAATTTTAATACATTTATTTAGTGTGTGTGTGAGTGTGTGTGTGTAATGCTACATATGTAGAGGTCAAAGGACAACTTCGGGGAGTCAGCCCCTGCCCCCCGAGACAGGGTCTCTCTGTGTAGTTTTGGTTGACCTGGAACTTGCTGTGTAGACCAGGCTGGCCTTGACCTCACAGAGCTCGTCCCGCCTCTGTATCTTGAGTTCTGGGACGAAAGGTGTGCACCATCGTGCTTGGCTGTTGTGCTGTCTACCGTATGAATCCTGGGGAGCAAACTCAGGTGGCAAGGTTCTTTACCCTGAGCCATCTCTCCAGGCTGTGGCCACTCTAACTTCCCCTGTAAATGTGTCAAAATCTCTGCCCACTGTTATTGCATAACACCCAGAGGTACTTACTTACACACATGTCCTTCAGCAACCTGTGGTTACTGACCGATGCACCACACCCAGGCCTCGCTACTGTACCCCAGTCCACAATCTGTGGCAGAGCGTAGCAGTGGCCTCCTCCTTCCCCAGGCTCTTGCTCTCGGAGGGCAGACCCTGTAGCCATCCCTTGGCCTTTGGACCTGGCTGTGAGGCCGGGCCCTATACACAGTTGGGCAGGAACTGGATTGTCCTCTTTCTTGATACTTCCAGACCTCAACCCTGCCCAGAACTGGACATTGCAGGGTTGGTGGGTCAGCCGACTGGTGGGGCTTCCAGAGAACCCTCCTGGACATTTCCCAGCCTAGGCTGGATTCGAGTCCCTGTGAGAAACAACCAAAAAATTCAAAAGCTTGATTCTACCAGGTATCTGGTGTGCCTGTCAGCCAAAGGCCCCGCCCTGCCACAAGTGAGTGTCACCAGGGGCCACAGTGAAGGTGGTTCAGCAAGGAGGGGTGGGATTGGGTGACCAGACACAAAGGGGCATGTGTGGTGGCACATACCTGTGACCTAGCATTCAGGGAGCGGGCAGGAAGACAGCAGGCTTGAGGCCAAGCTCATCTACCCAGCAAGACCCCTGATCAAGCAAACAAAAAACAGTAACAACTTGAGTTCAGTCCCTGGACCCACATGGAGAGAACTGACTCCCGCAAGTTGTCCTCTGACTTCCATATGAAACACACATTCACACACAGAGTGAATGAATGAATGAGTGAATGAATGAATGCGTGAATGGATGAATGAATGAATGAATGAATGAATGAATGAATGAATGAATGACAAAAGCAAACCCCAAACAAACCAACCAACCAAAAGCCAAAACAAACAGGCTTTACCTGCACACCCTAAGACAGGAACCGGAAATACTTGTTAACCCGCTTCTCTTCTCTTCAGCTCTGACTCCAGAAGAAAGAGAGGGCGGAAGGAAGGACAGAAAGACCAAAGGAAGGGAAAATCTGGAAGCCAGGTCAAGCTGGACCTTCAGCGGTTTCTTCTGAGTGTGGTGCTCCAGGCTGGAGCAGGCCTCTCTCTGGGCGGGGAGATCAATGGATACTCTGCCTCTTGTGTGACAGGCACCTGGAGACTTTGGGAATGACCATGCCATCATGTTCTGTGCCCTGCGTCAGTTTTAAGACAAAGAAGGGGCATTTATTCGAAGCCACCTGATTCTCAGGGTCGAATGGGGCTCAGGGGAGCCAGGAAAGGGGCACCTGGCCTTGAAGGACAGGAGGGCTGCTGCTGCGGGCCTCCTGTGTGACCTGTAGGCCCCACCCTCCAGTCGATAGCTGGTCTGTGTCCTGTGCTGACCAGCCAGCCAGGAGCTCCTAGAGCTGAGCTCCTTGCAGAAACTGAGGCATGGATCCATCAGGGAGGAGCAGGCCGCTGGCCCCCACAGGGTGACCTGACATGGTACTTGCCACCCTGGGGGCTGGTTTGCCCAGCTGGTTGGCTGGCAAGAGCTGAGCCATGTAATTCTCACTTCCTCCACCTCCTCACATTCCTCAGCATTCCGTCAACATGCCAGCTCCTGCAGGTGGCCCCAGCCAGCCGGCCAGGAGGGTGGCACCTTTATTTAAAGGGCTGCTATTCAGAGCCCCAAGCACCCACTCGCCCTCAGCCTGAAACTCCACTGCTTCCTCCCACTTTCCCTTTTTCAAACAGGCTCTTCTTTATATTTTAGTCCTGGCCAAACCCTGTGGAGAGCATGTCGTCAGGTGGGCTGCTGAGCCTTGGGTACAGGGCAGAGTACTGGGAAACAAGAGCAGGGCCTGCAACTCCACAGGCCATGGAGGGATGGCTCAGGCCGAGCCTGGCTGTATCTGCCTTTCTGTTCCCATGTCCTTTCTGAGGAAAGCCATCCACTCAGGTCTCCTTAAAGAGCCTGTAGGTCTGAGCGTCATTTATGAGGAAGAAAAATTGTTTTTTAATAAAGAAAGTTATGAGAAGTACTTTTTGCTGTTTGTTTATTTATGTTTGTAGCATGGTTTCACAACTGACATTATGCTTTCCAGCAGAGTGCTCCCCTCCACCATGCTTTCCTTCAGAGTGCTCCACTCCACAATGCTCCTCTCCACAGCACTCCTCTCCATAGTGCTCCATTCCACAGCGCTCCACTCCAGAGTGCTCCATTCCACAGTGCTCTCCTCCACAGTGCTCCACTCCACAGTGCTCAACTCCACAGTGCTCCACAATGCTCCACCCCACAGTGCTCTCTCCACAGTGTTCCACCCCATAGTGCTCCACAGTGCTCTATTCCACAGTGCTCCTCTCCACAGTGCTCCTCTCCACAGTGCTGTACTCCATAGTGCTCAACTCCAGAGTGCTCCACTCCACAGTGCTCCACCCCACAATGTTCTCCATAGTGCTCCACCCACAGTGCTCCACAGTGCTTAACTCCAGTGCTCCACACCACAGTGCTCTCCTCCACAGTGCTCCACTCCACAGTGCTCCACTCCAGAGTGCTCCACTTCACAGTGCTCCACCCCACGATGCTCCTCTCCACAGTGCTCCTCTCCACATTGCTCCACCCCACAGTGTTCCACCCCACAGTGCTCTCTCTCCACAGTGCTCCTCTCCACAGTGCTCTACTCCAGAGTGCTCTCTCCACAGTGCTCTGCTTTAGAGGTCAGAAGACGATTTGCAGAAGCCAGTTTTCCTCTTCTACTTTTCCTTGGGTCTTGGGGATTTGAACTCAGGTCATCAGGCCTGGTTGTCAATGTTCTTATCAGCTGAGGCAGGACCATCCTGCCAGTCCTTTTACAGTGTTCAAATCAGCATTGTTTTTATTGTTTGTGGTGTTTTTCAGTTTGTCTGTTTCTGTTTTTTTTTTAAATATATTCACAAAGTTATGTGACCATCATTATCTTTGTTGTTGTTTTGTTTTTTCTGAGACAGGGTTTCTCGGTGTAGCCTTGGCTGTCCTGGGACTCCCTCTGTACACCAGGCTGGCCTCGAACTCAGAGACCCACCTGCCTCCGCCTCCCGAGTACCAGGATTAAAGGCGTGCGCCACCAGGCCCGGCTTCTACTATCTTATTATAGGACATTTTCCTCACCCTAAGAAGAACCCTAAATCTATGACCAGTCACTTGTGGCTCAGCTTCTGGCAACCACGAATCTAGTTTCTGTCTCCTTGGATTTGTCCATCCTGGACACTTGATGTAAGGATTATCACACGCTATGCAGCCTTCGTGCCTGGTGTCTTACTCTCTTCAAGGTCCAGCCACGTTGTAACCTGTACCGAGCTGCGTACTCTTCCATTGGTTGATTATCCTGGTGGATCGCCTCTATTCTTTGGTGATTACTAATAGTGTTTCTGGCCAGGAAGACAGTGAGGTGCTAGCTGCACACGCCTCGCACCCCGAGTTTGATTTCTGGCACACACGTAAAGGTGAGAGGAGAGAACAGACTTGGTAAAGCTGTCCTCTGACGTCCACACGTGTCCTGCGGAAAGCACGGCCACGTATACATCCCACCCACGAATACATTTGAGAAAGACTAAGGTCCCCGCGAATACACACTTGCACTTGTATTTTGGGCATGAGTTTTCACTTCTCAGGTGGACGCTGAGTAGTGAAATTGCTGAGTCATATGGTAATTTTAGGAACTGCTTTTTGAGGAACTAATACAGATAGGGAATTTCTAATCCTTCATCCTGATAAACATAATACCCATTAGTCCTAGAAACTCGTAATGCATATAAATATGCTCAGGAAAAAGTAAGAGAAGTGACCGACCACCTTGGTTCACTGGAGCCTTTCCTCAGGCTCGGTACTGGGAGCCGGACCAGGCTGAGCTGTCCCGGTTGGCTCTTCTGGCTTTCTGTTTGAAGCATATTTCACACTTTATAGCGTGATTCCGTCCAGTGTACACAGTCAGTCAGCCTGCTACATTTGAACATCTAGATCATTCCTCTGCATTTTGTTATTGTTTTACTCAGGGTCTCAGTAGCCCAGACTGGCCTCAAGCCTGTGGTTGACCTGCTGCTCTGACATACCCAGTTTCCTGTATTTATTATTATTTCTTCATTGAAGAACGTCTTAGTCTCTGGTAAGTTTTGAGATAAAAATCTTAGAAGTGAAATTCTGAGTAAAAGACTGTAAACTTTTTTTTTTTTTTTTAAAGAAATCCACGGGCAGTGGTGGCACACGCCTTTAATCCCAGCACTTGGGAGGCAGAGGCAGGCAGATCTCTGTGAGTTCAAGGCCAGCCTGGTCTCCAAAGCGAGTTCCAGGAAAGGCACAAAGCTACACAGAGAAACCCTGTCTCGAAAAACCAAAAAAAAAAAAAAAAGAAATCCTTTATTTCGAAACAAGCGCATCTATAGGGAAGTAGTGGCAATGGTTGGGGGTGCCCACCAAAGGCAGTCTTTCCTACCCAGGGCACGCCTGTCCGAGCAAACAGTTAAGCTGGCCTGGTTCGAAATGCCAGACTTGATCTGAGCTTTGCTAGTTTTCCCACAAATGTGCATTTCTCGCCTGCAGATCCTTTCTGGGACCCCATGTTGTATTTAGGGTGTGGACACTTGTATGTGTACACACAGCACACGTCTCTATGAATGTGTGTATATATGGGCAAGTGTGGGGGGTTTGTTTATTTTTTCTTGGAGGTGCTAGGGGATGGAAGCTCTCTGCTGAGCTGTACCCCCAGTCCCAGCTGTTTGGATTTATGATCCCAATAACAGTATTTGGGGGACCCCAACAATGTGATAAACACAGCAGAAGCAACAGCTTCCTCAGTCAACCTTTTTATTTTTAGCAGGGTATCATGTAGCCCAGGCTAGTCCCAAACTCCCTATGTAGCCAAAAATGACCTTGAATTTCTGACTCTCCTACCTCTTCCTCCTATAGGTCGGGATGACAGAGGTGAACCCACACACCAGTTTGTGCAGTAGGGGGCACAGAACCCCATTCTGGGCTGCCACTCTGTGAGAACGCAGGCCTAGCCCTGTTAGGAAGCCCTTCATCGCTGGTGACTTTATAGTTTTGTTTTTGTTGTTTGTCAGTTCGGTGGCCAGTCTCTTTTCCTGGTTTTTGATTCCCATCCACCAGGGAGGGGTGGGGGTGGGCTGAAGGGGGTATGTGTGTTACCGTCCAGGTCTTTACTTGATTTCAAGGTGACACACAAGTCAGGTGGGCCTCAGAGGCTGTGACCATGCTGGACTGAGTCCCTCGGGCAGGGTCCTCCGGGCTTCAGCACCATCTGTTCAACAGAAGTAAATTCAGGCCTGTGTAGGGACCAGAGGGACAGCTGTGGTACTTTGTGACACCCCAGTCCAGCAGCAGACACTGTTTTGATATTGTAAAGGGCACCGAGCTTGGCCTTGTAAGAACAACGCCCCCCAGGGTGACTAGAACCCTTCTGGACTGACTTCAGCCCTGACAGGAGTTTCCTGCTGCCCACTGAGACCCCATCTGGCTGTGACTGGACTCCATCACTACAAGGGTCTCCCTGAACCCAAGAGGTTTATGGCACTGCCCAGAAATCGTAGACAGGATGCTGGAGAAAGGGCGTGCCCCATGAGTGGTCCAGTCTCGGGGCTCAGACTGTGGCCCTGCCTCCCTGAGCACAGGGCTGGTTGTCCAGCCTCTGGATATCCCCTCCACATGGAAGTTGGTCCCCTTCTCCAGTCTCCCCGCTCCACTCCCTCATCTCTTCCCCATAAGTAGGAGGATCAAGACCCAGCTCCAGGAAAATCAAGAAAGGAGAGATGGCTTTTCCTGAAGTTCAAGTATTACCCGGGGACAGGACAGAAACATACCAACCAGCTCCATGTGGTGAAAAACTGAGAAATAATCCAGGCTTGTGGAGAGGCAAGAGAGAGGGAGAGAGAGAGGGGGAGAGAGAGAGAGAGAGAGAGAGAGAGAGAGAGAGAGAGAGAGAGAGCCTGTGTTCCCACTGCCTTAAAACGGCCATGTGACCTCCACCCTAGCCTAGCCTGCCATTCCCTAGTGATGAGCAGAGGGCCTCCAACAGTCTCAGGTCACTGTGAGCACTGGCTTTGGTGATCCCGGCACTTCCTGGCAACTTTCTTCCTGGGATCTACCTGATGGCTGATGTTTTTTTTTGTTTTAACTGTGTGTCTTTGGTCTAACTGGGGAGGTCTCTGCAGCTCTCTGTCAGCATCAGGACAAGCTCTGGGCTTGGCCAGGTGTCCCTGGTGTCTCAGCTGCTGTCCTCCAGGGCTGTCATGGAGCCTGCTACTCTCATTGTAGGGAGGAGGCCACATCTGCCTGTGGTTTTCCCACCGAGGTCTGGCCAGCGAGGGGACGGACCGATGGGACTCGAGATAGGCTCTAGAGCCCTCTGGGTCTGCCCCCAGGAGGCACAGGAGAAATGGGAAAGCAGCCCTTCTAGAATGGGCTTAGCAGGCACTGCCTGAGTTAACTTGTGCTTGTGTCCGTCACCATATCCTGGTGGGCCAGAGAGACTATGACTGCATAAGCCCCGCTCCCCTGCTGGAAGCTTCTTTGTGGGGTGCAGTAAGCCTGTCTCAGAGTACTAAGGCCCTTCCAGTTTCTCTGCCCCGCAGAGCTCTGACTGTGGCCGAGGAAGGGCACCTGCCTCATTGGGTTCATGCAAGGAAGGCACTAGAGTCCCCAGCAGGCCCCCTGAACAGAGTCCCCTTGGACATGGCCTCCCTGGACCCCCATCCACCATGGGCAGGATCCTCCTGGATAGGCCCCTGCTGGACGGGGTTATACACACTTTGGTCCTGTCTTAGGAATGTCCATACCCATAGTCCTCAGATGTCACCAGAGGACAGGGACCCATTTCTGGGGTTCTCAGTGAGGAGGACAGATGAGCTCAGTCTCGAGAGGGTACCAACAAGCAGTCCTGTGCGAGTCACTCCAGTTTCTGACCTCCACCCTTTTCTCCTACACCCCAGGGCCAAACATTAGAAAGAATCACTAAGACCTCTGACCCTCTGAAGATGGCTCCTACCAGGC